ATGTATGGTAGAGCACATAGAAATTGTGGATGAAATGCCTTACAGAATGATGCCGTATTTTGAAAAAAAAAATTTAAAAAAGAAAGTGTTTTGGAGATATATGGGGGTGCATTTGGAGATCTGAGAATAATTGACATTTTTTGAATGGGACTCTGTTGGAGACGTTTTGGACTTAACAAATGAACCTCTTGAAATACACACATATACAACCCCAATTCCAGAAAAGTTGGGACGTTTTGTGAAATGCCATAAAATCAAGAATATGTTATCTGTTCATTCTCTTTAACCTTTATTTAATTTACTAAAGTACAAAGAAAAAATTTCATTTTGCTTCTGTCGCTGATGAAAGTCTGGATGGTTCCTTTGGTCTTTGGGACTGAGAACTCGAAATCCATTTTTCCCGGAAACAAGTTGAAATGTGGACTCATCTGAGCACTGCACACATTTCCACCGTCTTTTTGACTATCTGAGATGAGCTCTGGCCCAGAGAACCCGACAGCATCGCTGCATAGAAGAGTAACAGAGATTCAAGTTGCATTTCTTGATGCAGCAGCAGACTGTGTTAAGTGACAGCAGTTTTCTGAAGTACTCCTGAGCCCATGTGGCTATATTTAACACCGCAGCATGACGGTTTCTTATACAATGCCATCTGAGGGCTCAAAGGCCATGCACATTCAGCTGAGGTTTCCTGCCTTGCCCTACATGTACTGTGATTTCTCTGGATTCCCTGAATCTTTTCACAATATTACGTATGGTAGTTGGAGAAAGACCTAAATTCTTTGCAATTTTGCATTGCGAAATGTAAATTTTTGACTTGTTCGACACTTCTCTCATGAAATTTGGCACGAAGTGATTAGCCATGATCCAGATTTGCTTGCAAAGACTGAGATGCTCCTTTTATACCCAAACATGATACCCTGACCTATTGCCAATTAACCTGCTTACTGTGAACTGTTTCAAAACAGTTTAACATGGATATTCTATAACCTTTTATTTTGCCTCTGTCCCAACTTTTTTGGAGTGTGTTGCAGCCATCAAAATCAAAATTTGTTAATATTTACAAAATACATTTACGTTGGTCAGTGAAAACTTTGGAAATCTTTTCTTTGTACTTTTGTCAATTAAATAAAAGTTCAAGAGAATTAACAAATCACAGATTCTTGATTTTGTTGCATTTTACAAAACGTCCCAACTTTTCTGGAATTGGGGTTGTATTAGTCGGGTAGTCGGAAGAAAGCATTCTAAAAATTAACCATTTTTTTTGTGTTTTACTTTTTTTGACATTGATGTGCAATATTTTTATTTGTTGTAAATGACTGCATTCCTTATTTGTATGCACAGAAAACCTTCCTTTTTGTCTGAACTAAGCATCTGTATATGAAATAATATTGCAAATTAAATATGCTTATATTGGTAGCATTTTCTTTTGAACATTTATACTTGAAAAACATTGTGTGAAGAAACTTTTAAGGTGATATAAATCTTGTGTTGACATTTTCAGGATGGATTGAAGAATTCCATTCTGAGATCTCATTTATCTTTTTTTTTACCTCGTTATGAAGTTGAGTCATTACAGCCTTTTTTATCAACTAAATGTTTAATTCATGTGTGCTACTTTTTCACTCAAGAACAGAATGTGTCTTAACAGAACTGTATTCACTCAGAAAGCTTTGGTCTGGTATATTTGATCTGGATTTGCATACTAATCCAGTATACTGTTTTAGTACAGAGCATCTCAACATGAACTGATTTAAAACCGACTGTGTTTCCAGAGACTCTCAGACAAACATTATAGTACTATTTGTGCAAGAACTGACTGGTGTTTGTCCGTCAGCATGCTTTGGCACATCTCCATTGTTAAAGAAAAAAACAGCCGGAAAAAAACAGCCAGTCTAATAAATGAGCATAAAATGTCTTACAAGAAGCTTATTGCTATGAATTATTGACAACTTTCCCCCATTTTACCATCAAGTGTTCTTGAGTGTTGCTTGGAGTTTAATTTTGAGAGCACACTCATTTGCAAAGGAATCTTTTGCCAACAAATGAATGATAAATGTAGATTAAATCACAATATGCTGACATTACTACACTACTAGTTAAATCTGTATTAATACTAGAAATATTGTGATGAATCGTACTGCTGTGCAATGACTGTACTTGATGGCATTATGGCTTTTTGAGACGTTAGCAAACTCCTTGTAATCGTTCCGATGGTAAGAAAACTTCTTATTGCTTGAAATGTGTATTTCACCCCCAAACTACAGTCTGACCTCATTATCACGGTATTCTGTTACTAATGGAATCAAAAGTCATTAACACACAGGAAGGGCCTCATGTTTCATTGTTTTTTGCTTTATGTGAAGCATGGTCTTTTTGTACGCATTGCTATTTATTCTTGTAGTGAGTGTGATGTGTGATTACAAGTGACTTCATTATAAAATAAAACCAGCTAGACACTTTCATATATATATTATATTATATTTATTTACATATAGCATAATATATACAGTATATCCAATGAATATATACCATGTGTACAATAATGAAGGTAAATTGTGCAAAAGTCTTTGACACCACTATTTCATATTTGTTTTAAAGGAGTAGTTCACCCAAACATGAAAATTTGCTGAAGATTTGCTCAACCAGAGGCCATCCAAGATGTAAATGTGTTTGTTTCTTTGTCGGACCAGATTTAGAGAATTTTAGCATTATATCACTTGCTCACCAGTGGATCCTCTGGAGTGAATGGGTGCCGTCAGAATGAGAGTCCAAAAAGCTGATAAAAACATCACAATAATCTACAGATAATGCACATGAATTCCAGTCCGTCAGTTAATGTCTTGTGAAGTAAAAAGTTGTTTGTAATCAACAAATCCATCATTATTACCTTTTAACTGTTGATTGTAGCCAAAATACCAGTCCAAAATCAATAGTGAAACTTCCTGCAGTGAAAAAGTTCACCCTCTGTTGTTCTCTAACATTAATTCTATTATTATTTGTTAAGAACTGTTTTGGCTTGTAAACAGTGCTTGATCTGTGCATATTTCTCTCCTGATTCAGATGAGATGACTATTTTTCAACAGAGAAAGCAATATTATGGATAGAGGACTTGGTTGAAGTTAAAAACGTTTCTTACAAACACTTCACTTTTCCACTTTTTTCTTACAAAGCCTTTAATGTTAGATATTATTTGATGGACTGGAGTTGTGTGCATTATCTGTAGATTATTGTGATGTTTTTATCAGCTGTTTTGACTCTCATTCTAACGGCACCCATTCACTGCAGAGGATCCGCTGGTGAGCAAGTGATGTAGTGCTAAATTTCTCCAAATCTGTTCCGATGGAGAAACAAACTCAACCACATCCGGGATGGCCTGAGGGCGAGTACATTTTCAGCATTTTTTTTTTTCATTTTTGGGGCCAAATATTACTTTAAGGGGCATCAGATCATGATTGATGTCCGCGGGCTGAATAACACCATAATTTTCGCCATAATGTATGTGGTCCGCTGCCACCATGGAACTATTTATTGTAAAAGATATTGCACATTTTTATACTGAAACGAAAGAGCGACCTAGATTAAACTCTGCTAGTCAGCTTAACTGGTTAAGACCGTTACGTTTTTGCGCTGTAACCCTCAACCTCAATTTACCTTCAGTGTCCCAGACTTCTGCACTATACAGTACAGGACATGCTGTATCCGGTTCACAATAATGTGGGAGCTTTAAAAAGTCATGGATTGAAATATTTAATATTGGAGAAACAAAACTACTGGCTTAATGTGATATTGAAATGACACCAGGAATGAAATATCAATGTACATATGTAACGCAGGATGTGCAGAGTATAGGACGGGTTCAACAGATTCTCACCTCAAGACTGTAGAATACAAGGCCTCAGTGGTGTATGTGGTTTGTACTGAAGTAGGAAAGAAACTGTGGGTTTGATTAGTACTTAATGCACTTGCTCTGAATGTAATTACAATTATATGTTTGTCAATGTCTAAAAGTAAAAACACACTTTCTGTAAAGAAACAGCAATGTTTATTTATTTGCTAGCTTTTCTGTGATTGAACTATTTAGACATATTCCTTTACCATAGCAGGAATGTTTGTAACAGTATTTACAACATTAAACAAACTACTGAGAGCGGATACAACCAGAATGTCTCTTTAATCTCTTGATTTGATGTATTTGAAAGAAGTCTCTTCTGATCAGAAATACAGAAAAAAATTTGTGAAATGTTGTTACTATTTAAAATAACTATTTTCTATTTTAATATAGTTTAAAATGTAATGTATTCCAGTGATGGCCAAGCTGAATTCTCAGCTGTCATTACTCCAGTCGTCAGTGTCACATGATCCTTCAGAAATCATTCTAATATGCTGATTTGGTGCTCTAGAAACATCACCTATTATTATCAATGTTGAAAACAGTTGAATTATTTGATAAATAAAAATGTATTAATTCAACCTAATGCAGCCTCACTGAATAAAAATATTAATTTATTTTAAAAAATTAGCCCAAGTATTTGAAAGGTAGTTTTTCATTAAAGGTTTTGTTAACAACTGTTCATCCTACACTGTCAAAATGTCACTATTGATTGAATAAAAGTCCCAGACAACAGACAGATGCTTTAAAGATCATATTTAATCTTGGAGAAATATGGATGGTAGGTTTCACCCATACAATGCAGATGAGCCTCCTCAAATTCAGTAATAATGCACCATACATCTCTGAAGGACATCTTGGTAGAAATAATACATTTGTTCAGAATGGTCAAATAAAACTAAAAAAGTCACATATTCATCCTCTTCACAATATGCTGATTTAATCAGCATTGAGTAATTCTCCACATCACATAAGATAAATAAAGCCATACATTAGCATGTTTTTCTTAATATAATGATTGTTAATATTGTATTTTTCATGTAGTCAATTTGTATAATCAAATCATTTTTAAATAAGGAAATTTGGTAAATAAACAGTTTTTTTTCTCCAGTGTTTTATCATAATGCATAATGTGAAAAAAGAAAAAGAAACATCAGTAAATCCCAACAGCTCCAACTGAAAAAGTTAAAAATGAATAATATTCAGTACACACACTGACAACAAAAACAGATGTTTTAAAAACGAAGTGATCTGTACTCATCTGTACTTTATACAAAGCTTAGCTTCCTTCATGTTGTGATGTTCACTATAACCTTCAGCTGAAACAGTCTATTTCCTCGGTTAACAGTCAGTTTGAGACGTCACTCAGATGACAGTTTCTCGGAAGACTCCTATAAGGCTGTGTGGACGCTCCTGTCCCATGCGACGGGATCCAGCCCGAGAACCCATTCTGGAGTTAGTTCCAGAATGGGAACCTGTCCTGTGCTCCGGCCCGGCCTGCAGCTGTGCCCATGTGAAGGAGCTGAGGTCGCCACAGCTGCGCAGGTGAAGGATGCCCGGACGCTTGCGCAGCGGCAGCTCCATCTGTGTCTGCCTACGGAGGGTGGACTGTGCTGGTGCAACCTCTGAAACTGTAATGGCCTGCAAACATGAATGAAAATGACCTGTCAGCAGGGCAGGACTTAGGGGGGCGGGGGCCCCTGGGCTTGAGGTTATGTTTGGGCCCTATACCTACACTAAAAATGCCCTCAAATAGAACATCATTATGGAGTAACACAAAATACACAAACATATGCTTTGAGGTTCATAAATAGTACAATTAATATGCAACATGTCTAGGCTATAGTCAAAGTTTAAATGTAATATTAAATATTCATTATAATATAATAAACAGGATGTGTTCTCCCAGTTGAGAGATCAAAACCCTGAATTAATCAATAAATTCAATCGAATAAAAAGGCATGCTGGCTATTAACAATCAAATGAAATCACTATCAACAAAATTCATAGATGGATTGTGCATAATGTTAAGTTTAAATATAACATTTTAATGTAGAAATATTAAATGATTGCAAAAATGAAATAAGCTACTTTTTAAAATATGAAACTACAACCGCCAGTAGGTGGCAGCAAGTGACTGTCTTCATGAGTGAGTTGAAAAAGCTGATTCATTTAACTTTGCAAACGACTGTACTTATAGCCTGATTGAATCATTTGCTGGTCTGTGTAACACTGAGGAACAAAACACTGTTGTTCGGAGACGGGCTGCAGCCCACTCAAGCCCAATGGTAAGTCCGGCCATGCCTGTTAGGAAAACACTGGAACAAAAATGGACAAACAGGATATTAAAGTGATAGTGAACATTTAGTCAATATTTACTCACTCTCGTGTCGTTCCAAACCTGTATGAGTTTCTTTCTTATGTTGAACATAAAAGAAGACATTTTGAAGAATGCTGGTAATCAAAGATTTGTTGGTCCACATTGACTTCCATCGTATTTCTGTCCCTACTAATGAAGTCAGTGGGGACCAACAACTGTTTGGTTCTTCAATATTCTTCAAAATATCTTCTTTTGTGTTCAACATAAGAAAGAAACTTATACAGGTTTGGAACGACTTGAGTGTGATAAAATTATGACAAATTTTTCATTTTTGGGTGAACTACTCCTTTAACCTTACAGTAACCCGACAAACAGTAACCCAACAGCCTATAGCATCTGCATCATAGGTGATATGTACATTTCTATGGCCTCTAAATTATCAAAAATGTTTTGCACAAAAAACTTGTACATAATCTACTACACGTCTTCTGTTTTCTGATTGATATTTTATACTAGAAAGTACACGGCCTTTCAGTATTATTGTAAAAATGTCCATCTTCAAGTCATGGTACACTTGCCTTTGAGCTGTGAAATATTTACAGATTTTTATGAAGTAAATTTAAGAACGGTTTTAATACTGTAGGTAATTCTTCAGGATGAGCACTTACTGGGCTGTAGCAACTTAGCAACTTGATTTTTTTTTTAGAAAAATTAGCTAAAAATGTCCACACATCAGGCTTTTGAGGAATGTTTATTTGGACATCTCTCCATCACTGTACTGCATTGCATTTTGCTATATGTAAATAAGCATTTAAATATTATCTTACTAAGACATATTATTGGGAGATACAGAGTGGCAGCTAATATTTCTATGCATTTTATGCGAATAGTCTGCTATATCGTTTTAAAGTGATTAACATTACAAGCTAAAAGTATTTCATCTTACTTTTTTTATATATAAATATCAGCAACTGGACCAAATTGCATATTTTTACTCAGTTTGGGTCTTTTTTTCCTCCTCGAGTATGAGATCCATATTGTCTTATATCATACTGTATATAAGCCATAACAGCCTGGTGTATATAATATGTGACCCTGGACCACAAAACCAGTCATAAGTATCACGGGTATATTTGTAGCAATAGCCAAAAATACATTGTATGGGTCAAAATGATACATTTTTCTTTTATGCCAAAATATCATTAGGATATTAAGTAAAGATCATGTTCCATGAAGATATTTTGTAAATTTCCTACTGTAAATATATTAAAACTTAATTTTTGATTAGTAATATGCATTGCTAAGAACTTCATTTGGACAACTTTAAAGGTGATTTTCTCAGTATTTGGATTTTTTTGCACCCTCAGATTCCAGATTTTCAAATAGTTGTATCTCGGCCAGATATTGTCCTATTCTAACAAACCTTATTTAAAAAGCTTATTTATTCAGCTTTCAGATGATGTATAAATCTCAATTTCGAAAAACTGACCCTTATGACTGGTTTTGTGGTCCAGGGTCACATATGATACTCAACAAAAAACATGCTGGATTCAAACTCAATTCACCCCCTTGAGCACCAAAGCTCCATGTATCAGAGCAAGTGCTTTGAGTCCTACGTAACGTGACGTGTTTTCATGCCATGTGTCTTGCCTGGTCAATGAAGCTGGCGCAGCGAACGGCCTCCTCCATGTGCTCCTCATCAGAGCGCAGCACGGTTTTGATGCTGTTGACCAGCTCCTGTACCTCAGGGGTCAAGCTGCAGGAGGACTGCTCCAGAAAACGGGCCACCAGCAGTTTTGTGTCTCTATAGCTCTGGTAGTCCACCATAGAGTTGGGACGAGGCTTGCGTTTGCCATGGCCCTGTCGTAGTGTAACCGTCCCATGCTCCGTTACAGTCACTGAGCCTGGAGCAGGAGCCGAACCAGGACCTAATTCTGTCTGTGTAGCTGCTTCACAACTCATTACTGAAAGAGGCAGAGAAACCGATGAGACATAGCTCACTATGATTTTGACAAATATTTGTCAAATAATGTACACTCACTAGAGATGACAAATACATGGGGCTACATGAAGTGGGGCTACACAATTTGGAGATTTTCTAATAAAAATTGTAATTGCAATTTAAAATTAATTTAAGAAAAAAAACTGCTGTGCTTGTTTGTCGGGCTGCACAATAATTGTAACTATAATAATAATTATATATATGACTACAACAACAACAACAACATCAACAATTGTTATAATTATTATTACTGAATAAAAATAAACAAGATAAGAAATATTAAGTAATACTTCACTGTAAAAATAATAAAAATTGAGAATTTAAGATATAATACAATCTTGTGGGGGGGGGGATCATTTTCTGATCAAATTTGTGATTATGGTTGTGAATGTTTGTAGGGCTGCACAATTTGGCCAAAATGTTAGTGATTGATTATATATTAATAATAATAATAATTACTATTGTAAAATTTCACTGTAAAATAATACAATCAAGTGTTTAAGAAATATAATAATTACAATATTAATATTTATTGCTGTCTTCATTCATTTTCAAACATTAAACCATATTTCAAATCCATTTTTCCAGAAAACCACAGACATCAATATTCACATCTGAGCTGTGACAATACGTAATTTTAGTATTTTCAAAAAGTAAAACTGTGACAAAAAGTAATTTTCAGTAACCACAAGCCATACTGTACTCATAAAACCAATAAATAATAATCTGTTATTCCAAAAACACATTTGAAATTACTGAGGGAGCCCATGGCTCAAAAATCCTAATTCTCTTCTAGGTTTTAGGACTACAAACTGAACTGCTCTATTCAACCAAGTTAATAAACAAAACAATCCTAATAATTCAGTGTAACAACCAAGACCACTGTTTTATTATGATTATGAAGACAGATAAGAAGTCACAAAGCATAAACACTTCATGAACCGTTACTCACCATCATGTCATTCCAAACTTGAATTACTTTTTTCTGCACAAAAGATGATATTTTGAAGAATGTTGGTTACCAACGACATTCATTGTTTGGACCAAAAAAAAAATCACTTCTTATCTTCTTTTATGTTCCACAGAAGGATAAAATGTCATACATTAGATGTTTGGAATTAAATTAGGGTGAGTAAATGATGACTGAATTTGAATTCTGCTGACCCCCATCAGCAACACAGAGACAGAGAGTCCTATATTTAAAATGGGCTTAAAGTAACCACTGACACTGGCTATATCTTCTCTATAAGTATCAGACCAAGTCCTCTGATCTGGACACACACACCAAGTAAAAAGATACCTCCATCTGTCATCAGAGAGAAGCCAGTGTTCATAAACTAATTATAAAGAACTGTGTCAGTGCCTGTGCTTTGACCTTTTATAGAAACCTCATTCATTTTATATCCATTTAGGCTTGAAATGAGCCAAATCTGACTATATCCTCTGAAAGTCCAATTTAATCTCATTGGTTGTCTGTGACAATCAATATACAGTTAGGTCCATATATACAGTATTTGGACAATTTTTATTATTTTAGCTGCTGACCAAAACATATTCAAGTGACAGTTATTTAATGAATATGGGCTTAAAGTGCACACTCTGATTATTAATTTGAGGGTATTCACATCAAAATTGGAGGAAAGGTTAAGGAATTACAGCTCTTTAATATGTACCACCCCCTTTTTCAAGAGACCATAAGTAATTGGATAGTTGACTCAAAAGCTGTTTCATGGACAGATGTGGGCTATTCCTTTGTTATTACATACATCAATTAAGCAGGTAAAAGTTCTGGAGTTGATTCTAAGTGTACCATTTGCATTTGGAAGCTGTTGCTCTGAACCCACATCATGCAGTCAAAGGAGCTCTCCATACAAGAGAAACAGACAGTTGTTAGGCTTCAGAAACAAAATAAATCCATTACATTAGAACATTAGAAGTGGCCAAATCAACAGTTTGGTTCATTCTGAGAAAAAAGAACGCACTGGTGAGCTCAGCAACATAAAAAGACCTGGACGTCCACGGAGGACAACAGTGGTGGATGATCAGAGAATCCTCTCCACGGTAAAGAAAACCCCTTTCACAACATCCAGCCAAGAGAAGAACACTCTCCAGGAGGAAGACGTGTCACTGTCAAAGTCTACAATCAAGAGAAGACTTCACCAGAGCAAATACAGAGGATTCACCACACGGTGAAAACAAAGCCAGATTTGACTTAGACTTAGACTTGGATAAAGCCTGACCAGTTCTGGAAAAGCATTCTTTGGGCGGCTGATATTAAGATCAAGCTGTACCAGAATGATGAGAGGAAAAAAGTATATAGAAGGCTTGGAACAGCTCATGATCCAAAGCAAACATCATCATCTGTGAAAGCAGATGGAGCAGTGCGATAGCATGAGCGTGCATGGCTTCCAGTGGCACTGGGTTACTGCTGTTTAGTGACGTGACAGAAGACAGAAGCAGCCGGAAGAATTCTGAAGTGTATAGGGACATACTGTCTGCCCAGATTCTGTCAAATGCAGCAAAGCTGATTGGGCGGCGCTTCATAGTACAAGTGCACAATGACCCAAAACATACGGCAAAAGCAACCCAGGAGTTTTTGAAGGTAAAAAAAGTGGAATATTCTGCAGTGGCCAAGTCAATCTCCTGATCTCAACCCGAAACCCAGTCTCTGGTGATGTCTGAGTTCCAGACTTAAGGCAGTCATTGCCTGCAAAGGATTCTAAACGATTAAAGCTTATAGTCTGCACTTCAATTTCACCATGATTGTTTCATTTTAATTCTATTCTGGTGGCATACAGAGTCGAAATTATGAAAATTGTGTCAGTGTCCAAATATATATGGACCTAACTGTACAGTTTAGGGGTCATAATACAAAAGCATCTAACTGTAGATTGCCGCAACTGACATAACAGACCATTTGAGAATTCCTCCTCTACCTTTGGCGGTCAGGTCTAGCAGGACGGGGTCGCTGTTGGACCTGCGGAGGCGAGGTCTGTGAGCTTTTCTGCTGGAGGAGACTGCACTGTGAGGCTGTCTGGACTGTGCCGGGGGTGTGGGGCTCAATATGGCCGTCTGACGGCACCTGTCTGAATAAAACATGCAAACAAACGGCAAAAACATGTTAACCTTTCAGGGCTTTTCACACTTTGAATGAGTTAACCCTGGGTCATACTAATATTCCGGGTAAACGGAATCTTGCTTCTTGTTTCACACTGCTTGCACTGTCAATAATCTCAACAGAGAGGGACCCCAAGCAATGAGCTGTACAAGGGCCCCAGAATCCCTAGCAGCACGCCTGCTGCTGACTGTACTATCAAGTATTTCCTGAACTTGATTTGGACTTTCCTGGTAAGAATATTAATAAGGTAAGAATAAAAAGGTAAGAATAAAACAGTCTCTTGTTCAATCCAATTCATGTGTTTTCTGTCACCATTTGACATTTTTCCCCCAAACGCTGAAGCGACTGTTTATACAATGTGCCGCGTTTGCGTGACTGCCCAAAGCATGTGAATATGAGGCACACGACTGGTTGTCTGTCGCTAAACATCTAGGCATAACATTCTAACACCACATCTCCAGAGCAGGACTTCATAAACCCGAGTAAAAAGAGGTTTAGAACGACAGGGTTAAGAACAGTGTAAAAATACTTTTTTGTACTGAAGTTTATTTTCTATTTCTGTCTATTCATTTCTGTCCTGTCAGCAACTGCAAGGTAAAATTGGTCATAAGAGGAATCTGGCCAAAACAAGCCTAGTCTATATAGTCAACAAGAGTCAGAAACATCTTAACAAATGTGCTGTCTAAATTAAGAGATGTTATGTCATGTTACTTCATAACGAACAATATATATTTATGTCTATATGTACTACCATTTGGAGTCAGTATGATGCTTTAATGTTTTTAAAAGAAGTCTCTTATGCTTACAAAGTCTGCATTTTTTAATTGAAAATACAGTAAAACAGTAATATTGTGAAATATTATTACAAATTAAAATAATTGTTTTCTATTGTAATATATTTAAAAATGCAATTAATTTCTGTGACGGCAAAGCTGAATTTTCAGCACTCATTACTCCAGTCTTCAGTGTCACACGATCCTTCAAAAATCATTCATATATGTGACCCTGGACCACAAAACCAGTCATAAGTATCACGGGTATATTTGTAGCAATAGCCAACAAAACACTGTATGGGTCAAAATTATTGATTTTTCTTTTATGCCAAAAATCATTAGGATATTAAGTAAAGATCATGTTCCATGAAGATATTTTGTAAATTTCCTACTGTACATATATCAAAACTTAATTTTTGATTAGTATTATGCATTGCCAAGAACTTCATTTGGACAGCTTTAAAGGCGATTTTTCTCAATATTTTACATTTTTTGCACCCTCAGATTCCAGATTTTCAAATAGTTTTATCTTGGCCAAATATTGTCCTATCCTAACAAACCATACATCAGCGTTCAGATGATGCATACATCTCAATTTCAAAAAATGGACCCTTATGCCTGGTTTTGTGGTCCAAGGTCACATACAGTATGCTAATTTGGTAACAAGTAATATTTCTTATCAGTGTTGAAAATAGTTGTACTCCTTGATATTTTTGTGGAACCAAAGTACTTTTTTGTGTACTCCAAAGTAAAGCATTTATTTAAAATAAAAATCTTTTGGAATATTATAAATATTTTTACTGTCACTTTTGGTCCATCTATTGCATCTTTGCTGAATAAAATATACATTTCTTTAAAACATGTACATTACTGACTCCATACTTCTGAACAGTTGTTTACACATTAAAAATGTAGGATTTATACCTGGAAATGACCAAGTTATCAGATTTTTTAAAAATCTAAAATGAAGCAAAGGTTGCATGAACATCAGGTTTGACACAAACTTGTGGAGTTCATGCAGTTCAAAGTTCTGATTTCATTAAAGCATCATTTTTCAATTCAACATTTTAAATTGTTATGCTGATAATATAACTGATAATGAAAAAAAATGCATGAAATTAGAAGAATGCAAAACTGGCCGCTATATTGTGACTTGTGAAAGATCATTAAAAACCTGCAGGACTGTGCTATCTTTGAAAGTGTTGAAGGATACAGACAGCTATAAAAAGAAAAATAAATCCCTCACAGAAGAGCACTGGAGATACAACTGACACACCACTAAAATACATGTCTTTTAATACACAGATGACATCATTTTGGATGGGTACTGTGAAATGCTGTAAGCACCCCTGATTAAATATAGAGTACCAAAGGCACTAGGTTCATTTAAGCCGTGTCAATGACACATTTCATGTGGCAGCTCCATTTTCTAATTCCAGATTTTCCTATGGGAATTTTCTATTAGCTTGTTTTCTACTTTTGTTCTAAAATACTTTCTCCTGTCCCGGTTTAATGTGCAAAAACAATTGTCAGTGTGAAATGTCAATGTTTATCAATACTGCTCCTCTCCACAGGCCTATACATAAGAATACAAGCGGTTCATACCATCACTGGGCGTCTCTGCCTCTGCACTCTCTGTCAGGACCTCAGTCAGATCGGTCATTTGCACCTCCGTATTCTGGGCCTGATATAAATACAGAGGGTCAGTGAGCGGACAAGGACTTTATTTGATTGAGCTGTTGCCAGTGTAAGCCTGGTAGACCAGAATACAGAGCCATGTTTGCTGATACGAGGTCTAATTTACAAACAGAGCTGAAATGCTATCAGGAATAAATACTGTAAATGCGAACTGCCTTTTGATTTTCATCACAGAGATGATTATGCGATAGCATATAGATGGCATATAATAACTGTATAAATCAGTACCTGTGCTGCTGGGTTTGATGCAACAGCTTCATAAGGTGGAGGAGGGTCTAGAGGACAGAAGACCTCCACTCCTTTAATTCTGGCACCATATATATGAGGAAGAGGAATCATACCATCACCAAACATCCTGCCAAAACACACACATTTACATTGTAAACAACCCACGAGAAGATATAATGACAGTAAACAGCTGCTTCTAGACAAACCCATTAGTGTTTGATCAGAACATCCAATGAAACGGGAGCATATCATGCTTTCCCACACACAAACTTCAATCCTGTTTTACGTTGCCAAAACATTTTGGTTGCCTGCCAAACACTGAGCCACCCACCCACAAATCTGCTAAATCCTGCTGTATTTTTGGTTAAGAGTTCAAGGTCAGAGTGCAGGTTTGTGTGTGTGAGAGAGTGAGACACACTTAAGCAAGCTACAGATCATGAAATGCTGAACAGATTTTAATCACAAATATGCATGTTACCTTAAAATACCTTTAATATGTACATGTTACCTTAAAACCTTACGATTTGGAATTGAACAGAAACCTAGCTTATATATATATATACACACACTATCATTTAAAGGTTTGGTGTCAGTAAGTTTTTAAATTTATTTATTGATTGATTTATTATTATTATTTTTGAATGAATGAATGAAATAAATCAATACTTGGATCAGTAAGGACACATAAAAAATATGTCACAAAAGATTTGTATTCCAAATAAACGCTGTTCTTTTGAACTTTCTATTCAAAGAATTCTGACAAAATGTATCCGTTTTCTCGAAAAGTAGCACAAATGTTTTAAACATTGATAATAATAAGAAATATTTCCTGAGCCGCAAATCAGCATATTAGAATGATTTTTGAAGGATCTTGTGATATTCAAGACTGGAGCAATGGCTGCTGAAAATTCAGCTTTGCCATCACAGGAATAAATTACATTTAAAATATATTAAACTAGAAAACAGTTATTTTAGAAGATTTGACAATATTACTGTTTTTACTGCACCAAATAAATAGAGGCTTGGTGAGCTGTTTTTTTTTTTAATCATTAAAAAAATCTTGCCACCCCCAAACGTTTGAACAACAGCGTATTGTAATTTTTTTATTTTTTTTTAATAATTAATTATTTTTATGATATATATTTGATGTTTAATGATTATTTTAAATGTTCACATTTCATTTAATGTTTAAAGTTTTGAAATTCATGGAATAAAAAGTATATATTACATTATGTGCCTTTAAAAATAAACTCAATGCAGTCAGGTAGGTTCAGTTATAATAACTAAATTAAATCCTATTTTTGACTTGAATATACAGTTCATTTAGAAGATACCACATTTTAGGTAGCCTAAAACATTTTTTGGAGTGTGCTGTGTAACTACGAGTATAGAACCTGCGAGCCAGGCGTGGGGTGTAAGAGCAGAAGGTGGAGAAGTATGAAGGAGGAGGTGCCGGAGCGACAAATTCGTCAGGGTCAGGAAGATGAGTCTGCTCCTCCACTTCCTCTGGAACAGGCCTGGCCTCTTCCTGCCAAAGACAATCATAATCACATCACTATTAGCATTTGACCAGGGCAGAGAGACATCAGACACCTCTGAGCTGCTCACAGCATGTCGAAGCAGTCTTATAATCGATGCCACACACTGACCAAGAACTAAATCATCGAAAAATACATTATTTTCTTCCCATATTTTCCGTGATATGATTTCTCACCATGCAGGGCCGTCTGGTTGAGAAGATCTGGAGATATCTGAGTGCAGCAGCCACCAGACACACAGCTGTGGCCAAAGCATTCAGCGCACACAACGCAAACAGCACTTTCTGAAAGAGAGAGAACTATCCATAACATCCAAATCTACCGCTAGTAAATAAAACACAGTCAAGCATGAATATATTCCTCTCACTCTTAACATAATATACTTTATTCCGATTGGTCAGTCATGGCATTCTGCATACGGGTGGCAGGTAAATGTTCCCACAACTTCTTAATTCGCTAAATCACATTGTACTAATTCGCTATCCTGTTTTGATTTAGCAAACCATGGCCTCGATTTACTTGAACTAGAGAATGAATTCTTAATTCGTGGCCACAATAAACATAGTTATGCCAGCATGTCATGGAAAGGGCTTCGTAAAACAGTCCAAATTACACAAAATATTAATGACTTAATGGCTGATCGACCAAAATTAGTGTGTCTATGTCAAAGTAATCTATGTCTGGGATGCGGCACGTTTTTTTTGTTTGAAGGTCTACTGTGAACAGTGTCTGAATTGCAAAATGCGCTGTCAAATACTATCTGTGCGTATAGAAATATTGGAAGAAAATCCTAAATACTGAATTGGGGTGGGGGTTTATATGAATGTATCTCAGAACTGAAAAAAATTATTTATTACAAAATGAACACACCTTGAGCAGAATTCTCATTGTGCCACATGCATGACCTGCGTAGATCTCAATCAACTTGTCCCCTTGACACTGTGTGCTTGGAATCTCTGAACAACAGTAACAGAGATCACCTTTCTCATTCTGAAACACAGAAACACATTTATTATGTTTGTTTCATAATAATATCTGATGACATGGTATTACTAATACTTAAAGAACTGCCTGGATTCAAAGTACGAGACTGAGGATGAAGTTTCCAGGCACCTTTCTACATCTGTCTTTTTCAGTGGTCTGGCGCTGCATGCGATAACAGCTCAAAGATATAAGGTCAACAATATGGCAGAAACATTTCCATGACAAGTGGAAATGATGAAAGAGCAGCCTCCAGACACTGGAAATGACAGCACCCTAAAAACGACATCAAATCCAAGAAAAACTGGAACCTGCTTTGACTCTCAAATTCAGGGCTTTCTTTGACTTGGACAAACTTCATTCCTCTAAGCAGCTGGTCTGTACAGATGTGCTTTTTTCCATTGTGTGTTACTAATACGTACATCAACCAAGCAGCCCATCAGCCTGTGTTATTGTTTCAATTACACACTAGAAGAAGGTTTTAGTAGTGCTTGTAAGTGCAGTCGTGGATGTTCGCCAGAGTGTTGCAGTGAGGTTGCTAGGGTGTTCTATGTTGCTATGTAGTTGCTTACAAGTATGTAGTTATATTCTTATTATTCTTTGCTAACTCTAACACTACAATGAATGTTATTTAATATTTTATGTACAGTAGTGTAGATAAATGTACGTATGTATTAATAAGGTTTGCCCCACTTCAGTTTGTGATTGTTTATATTTTGCATCTAGGTTCGTGAATACAATCGTCAATACTTGAGTCATCTGACAAGTCATTATTGATGTTATTATCTCTACCATAGCACATGTCCAAATGCACAGATTCCTCACCAGCTGGCAGTTAATGGTACTGGAGACCAGCTGAGCCCCCTGACAGCAGAGGATGAAGCCTGCCAGGTTTAGCAGGATACAGACCACTGACAGCAATACAAACAGATTTACCTGTGTGAGAGAAATGAGATGAAAAGAGGTAATGGTACAGAGCAAGATCAATACTAGTCGGTCCTGTTATTTGACAAACATAATATTAGCACTCAAATCTGGGTTCGATGAGATTTGTCAATGTTTTTTAGAGATGTCTCTTATGTTCACCAAGGCTGCATTCATTTTATCAAAAATACAGTAAAAACAGTAACATTGTGAAATATTATTAGAATTCAACACCACTATTTTCTATGTATTATAAAATGTAATTTATTCCTGCGATGACAAAGCTGAATTTTCCTTTCAGTCTTCAGTATCACATGATCTTTCAGAAATCATTCTAATATGTGCTCAAGATACATTTTATTATTATCATTTAAAAATATATTAATAAAGATTTCAAAAGAAGAGCATTTATTTTAAATAAAAATATTTTCTAACATTATAAATGTCTTTTGCTCAATTTAATGCATCCTTGCTGAATTAAAAATATTCATTTTTATTAAAAAAAAAAATCTTACTGACCCCAAACTTTTGAACTGTTGTGTATATATAAATGGTAACAGGCAGAAGATGATGGTCAGCTTGAGACTTAATTAACAAGGTCTTAACTAAATGTCTGGTGGACACAGATCCTATTTAAAAGGTCGTTTAAGGGCCAAACAACTGCCCCTTTAACATACTGTAAGGACACGGATATGCAGAAGATTACACAGAAAACATGTGTTCAGGACAATACAGGACTGATTTGGTGTAGTAAACATCATCTAACTATTTTCAAGTAAAAATAAACTCATCTGCTTATTAAAATAGAAACATTAGGCTGCTGCCTCAAAGACCAGCAGTCTTAGATGGGCAAAACACACATACCAGCAGAAGCATTGGCCGTTTCCATGTGGTTAGTCCTATAATCCCAGAGAGGATGACCTGCAGAAAACAATCAGTCCGTTCAGCAAAGAGGCAAACACTCACAGACAGATTAACTGATAATGAACCCATCATAACCCATCAGATGGTGTACACTCTCAAAATGGCCTTCAACACTTTTAAATACTGTTTTAATGACTCATCTCACTCAGTGTGTTGTCGGCCAAGCTGTCTGCAGCAGCCTCATTCAAATACAATTGTCCATACACGGCTCCCTCTCATTTCCTCTAACCCTGCCACTTCCTGTCAATTACACCAGCTGATGGGTTCTTGTGTTCAGCTCTTTTTTTTCAGACATAACAATCTAAAGCATTTCAATAAATTCTTAACTGTAAAATGTGTTGTGAGGTAACCTTTAAAAAGTAATTAAATTCATTGATTTTATTCAAATCAACAATATTCTGTAATCAACTTCACAATATTACATTGTGAATTTTTTTCACATCATTACTACATCTTTATTTCCTTCTCTGTAAAATGTCACAATTATTTCAATGAGTTTTCAGTGTTTGATTTTCTTCATCAGTAATGGAGTTCAACTTCAAAAGTATAAATAAACATTAGATTTTGTTAACTAGCTGTTGTTTTGCACTTGGCGAGAGGTATGCATAGTATGGTAGCTTTACTTCTAAACAGTAACTCACTATAGAGTGTTAGGCAGTAAAAGAGATTCACACTTAGCCATGACTTCACTGACCAGTTCATTCAACTCCTGCCAATGACCACAAATATGAACCATATGTAAATGTGGGAAATAATATTATAAATTGCACTTTTGAGGATAACTTTGACCAAATTCAACCACAGCACTAAGGAAGTTTCTAAATATCTAGAAACTTAAGAAACTGGACAATCTTAAGATGTTTAAGGTATTAAAAGTTAAAACAATATAATTCGCTGTGGATAATAGCCAAATGCATCAATGCTAATGTAAACAAGCTTAAAAGTCTGGTGAATGTGCCAGGATCGAAATAATCATTAATGTCATATTGACTAATAAATCTGATAAAAGTAAAAATGACATTGTCATTCATTGAAATCTGGTTACTAGATTGGATATTTAGACCATACTGTAAAAATGTATAACTGTTCACTGTAAAAATGTTAATCCTAAATATGTGCTTCATGTGGTAACATCTGAATTAACTGGTCAAATTCCAGTTAAATTATTATTTAACTAAATCAACCATTATTTGACTAAATCAACCTAACGGCATTAGGCTACACCAGTAAAAAATAACGGACCAAGCTGAAATATTTCCTTGGGGCAACAACTACAGGGTACTTTTTAAAAGTGTAACTAATAACCTGGCTAATAATTTACAACATATTGACAGATCAGTATGGTTTATCATAGTGCATTACTGGTAAACAACAGTGTCTGGTGTGCTCATATACTCTGAAATAGACCGAACTAAAAGTGCAGCACCACGTTTCTGTATCAGACTGCATTGGAAACACACTGGACCACAATAAAACTTCTCCTCTGTACCTGCTGGTTTGTAATGGACCGATGAAACGCTGTAGACTAATACAGTGGCATACTGACAAGCAGTGTTGGGGAAAGTTACTTTTAAAAGTGATGCATTACAATATTGCGTTACTCCCTAAAAAAAGTAACTAATTACGTTACTTAGTTACTTTTTACGGAAAGTAATACGTTATATTACTTTTGCGTTACTTTCGCGTTACTTTTTAAATATGAGCAGGGCTTGATTGTTTTTAATATAAGAAGTTCTATTTATAGTAAATGTAAAAGCCCTTTCACATCTTTCTCAGGCTGAAGGAAAAGTAAATTCACGTCTGTACAGTAGAACGCAGGAGAAGAAACACACTTCAGCAATAAAAAAACAATGAAGCACAACTGTTAGTTTATCTAAAGTCATTTTTGCTTATTAGTATGGTTGAACTGGATCATCAAAGGTCAGCAGCAAAGACATTGGTTAATAAAATGGGATTAGATACATTTGTGTTATTTAACATATTTAATTATTGCAGGTTTGCGTCATATTCTGAGTTTGCATTTCACTGTTTTAATTCATTTTGATGAATACTAAATCTGTTTTTTGTGAGTGGGATGAATTAATGCACATTCACATTTGGTCTAGAACTACAGTAGCATCATGTTCACACAGCGCACACAACTCCTCTGCACTTCCGATTTCTCCCAATATGGGGACAGGAGACTTGTCAGTCAATACATGGGAAAACAAAGTAACTGGCGTTACTTTTTTGAAAAAGTAACTCAGATATTTTCTTGTAAATTAAAAAAGTCATGCGTTACTTTACTAGTTACTTGAAAAAAGTAATCTGATTACGTAACTCGCGTTACTTGTAATGAGTTACCCCCAACACTGCTGACAAGCATGCATTTTAATACGAGTAGCATGCATATGTACCGTAAAATAATAGCATTAGCACCTCTGGTTATGGCCAGTAATATAATACTCACAGAAGATCCGGCCCAAAACGGACAGGAGTTTCTAATAGGGGGCGAGTTGCTAAGGGACAGAGCCCCGAAAGAGAGCGCCACCATGGAGCAGCCGAGAACCAGCTGCAGCAAGCCGAGGGAGAGCAGCGGGCGAGCGGGCAGCAGCGCCGGGATGAGCCGCGTCTGCGATCCAGACATACGGGACGGAAGAGCGGACACACAGCGTCTGC